TGTCTCGTACTTTTACCTGCGCACTCGAAAGAAAAAGAGAGTAAAAAATAGTATCAGTACAGACACCGTAGTGTCCCTGGGGCGGTTCGAACGCCCGTGTCTCCATTAACTCGAGGTCACAGATTCCACATAGGAATGGAGTGATCTGCGTTGATCTACAGGGACTTACTTTGGCTACTGTGAGACTTTGCATACACGCTGAAACAATCCAGGGAAAATGCTGGTCTGGCAAGCGGCGAACGTTAGGGGTGATGGACCAGATGGCACCGTCCGGGAACTCCCGTGTGCAGCGAATGTGCAGCGTCCGACGGGTGTGCTCGCTGATACATAGACCAGAATGCGGCTGATGTCTATGTATCCCTTTGCGACAAAAAGGGTCCGAAAAGAGAAAAAAACGTCTCGACCGAAATATGTCCCCGGGGCGGTTCGAACGCCCGTCTCTCCATTAATTCCTGTCACAAGAGCTCAATTTGGATGGAGTGATTTACTGTAATAATCCACTGGGACTTGAATTGCTCTTCTGGATCCCTGAATATATCTCCTACTTGTCACATGTGGAAGCTATGGACTCACGACTATCACCTTTTCTGGACTCTGCTCTGCACTTGAGATCTAGGACTATCGGATACTCTCGGCTCGCGTGAGGCCGCGGGCACATGGACTAAAAAAGCAAGACGACGTCGGAAGTGTCCCCGGGGCGAATCAAACGCCCGTCTCTCCAGTAATGTGCCTGATATCCCCCTCTAATTGAATGGAGCGATCTGCATTGATCCGCAGGGACTTAAGCTTGCATTACTTAGGCTTAGGTTGGGCTTTGAACACGAAGCCGTGTCCCAATTCCAATGATGGGTGCAGCGTGCTACACCGGATGGCAAGTCAATCTCCGTTCAGAGCGAAAGTACCACGTTCGGCGGTTTGGTAAATAAATGGGAATGCGACTAATGTAATCGACTTTGCAACAAACTAGGAAAATAAAAAAAGTTCGAAGCGGCCGTATGTCCCTGGGGCGGTTCGAACGCCCGTGTCTCCATTAGCTCGCAACAAACTGCAGAAAAGGAAATGAAGAGGAGGGAAAAAAACTCAAGAACGATCGTGAGATGTCCCCGGGGCGGTTCGAACGCCCATCTCTCCGGTAATCCAAGGTGCATCGAATACATCGGGCTGGAGTGATTTACTGTAATCCACAGGGACTTGTATTACTCTGCTGGGTCCCTGAATATGTCTCCTGCTTGTGAAAGCTATGGACTCACCTTTTCCGGACTCTGCTCTGCACTTGAGCGCTGTAGGTGATAATTCTGGCTGGCTCAGCAGAGAAGAAATGTCCAGGTGGGCGAGAGAACTGAACTAAAGATGGGTGGTGGATGACTCAGAAGCCACGTATCGAGCCACACACAAAAAGGCAGACAAGAAGGAGAAGAAGAAAAAAAAAAGATTACTCAAAACTGCGAAGACAAACGCATTACGTCCCCGGGGCGGTTCGAACGCCCATCTCTCCAGTACTTTACATGCCCCTTTAATTGAATGGAGCGATCTGCATTGATCCACAGGGACTTGAATTGCTTGCATTGGTCCTTGAATATACTCGACTGAAAATAACCCACCTTGCCTTGTTCGAGAGCGATGGTCATTTGTTTGAGACTCGAGAGTGGATCATAGCTACCCAAATGTTCAAGTGGGCGGAATCTCGGGATGAGCCTGGGAGGTGGGTGGATAAATCCCTGCACAAACCTAGGCAGGCCAAAAAAAAAAAAACGATAGCCTCTGAGTGATGTCCCTGGGGCGGTTCGAACGCCCAATTCTCCAGTAATTGTCTCTCATAAATCACATATATGAATGGAGCGATCTTCCTTGATCTACAGGGACTAGATATTTAACATATCCAACTTACCATGATGTGCACTGCTTTGGTGGGTTACAGACTCAATTTCAGGCCGGATACTACTCACCTTCGGCCCTGGGTCTCACTTGCTTTCTTTTCAGTCGGTTGCGCTGACGCTCGCATGATATCCATCCGCCGGGACATGGACTTAAAAAAGATGATATCAATCGCTGTAAGTGTCCCCGGGGCGGTTCGAACACCCTTCTCTCCACTAATTTCTTTCACAAGAGCTTAATTTGGATGGAGTGATTTACTGTAATCCACATGGACTTGTATTACTCTTGTGGGTCCCTGAATATGTCTCGTACTTTGCCTGCGCGTTCAAAAGAAAAAAGAGAGTAAAAAATAGATCAGTACAGACACCGTAGTGTCCCTGGGGCGGTTCGAACGCACGTGTCTCCATTAACTTGACGTCGGAAATTCCGCATGGGAATGGAGTGATCTGCGGTGATCTACAGGGACTTGCTTTGGCTACTGTGGGTCTTTGCATACAAGCTGAAACAATCCAGGGACAATGCTGGTCTGGCATGCGGTGAATGTGTGAGGGGAAGGACCAGATGACGAGTAGATGAATCTCCGTCCGGGAATCCCCGTTCAGAGTGAGAGTGCAACGTTCAACGGGCGAGCTCGCTGATAAGGAATACGCCTGGTACATTCCCGAAAAAAAACCGTAACAACACTATGAAAAAGGGATGCATTACACCAAAATGTCCCAGGGGCGGTTCGAACGCCTGTCTCTCCATTGACCCTAACAACTATTTTTCCCATTTGGTTGGAGCGATCTGCGTTGATCCACAGAGACTGCTCTAGCTACAGTTGGTCCTTGCATACAAACTATCCTAATCAAGCCATTCTGCCAGCATCGTGCGGTGAACGTTGTGTGTGATGAAACGAAGTCAAGCCAACCAATCTCCGTCCGGGAATTCCCGTGTACAGTAAAGCTGGTTCCAATCTTCGATGTTAGACACACGATGAATGAATGGGAATGCAACTGATTTACGTTACCTCGCAACAAACTACGGAAAGGGAGAAAAAAAATTGCCAAATAGCCATCTGATGTCCCCGGGGCGGTTCGAACGCCCGTCTCTCCAGTAATTCTTTTCACCAGAATTAAATTTGGATGGAGTGATTTACGATAATCCACAGGGACTTGTATTACTCTGCTGAATCCCTGAATATGTCTCCTACTTGTGAAAGCTATGGACTCACGACTATCACCTTTTCCAGACTCTGCTCTGAGTCTGCACTTGAGATCTAGAATTCTCGGCTCGCGTGATATGAGGCCGCGGGGACATAGCCATGGACTCGGGCTAAAAAGGAGGGACCTACGTCGGAAGTGTCCCCGGGGCGAATCGAACGCCCGTCTCTCCAGCACTTCCTCTTATTTGTAATTTGGGTAGAGCCATCTACGTTGATCCACAGGGACTTGGATTGCTTGGATTGGTCCTTGGATATATACCCCACCCAAAGCCGCCCCAAATTTGGCTTGTTGGAGCTCGAGAGTGGATCATAGCTACCCAAATATTCAAGTGGGCGGAACCTTGGGATGAGCCTGGGAGGTGGGTGGATGAATCCCTGCACAAACCTAGCAGGCCAAAACAAAAAGAAAAGCGTAGCCTCGGAATGATGTCCCTGGGGGGTTCGAACACCCGTTTCTCCAGTAAATCGGCAGTGGAAAAGCAATATATTAATGGAGTGATCTACATTGATCCACAGGACATATTCTACCTATGGTGGTCCTCATACAAATCATCCCAGTCGAGTGTAAATGCCGTCCCGGCGCGCGTGAACGTTGGAGTGATGAACTGTAGCCAATCAGTCTCCGACCGGGAACTCCCGGTGCAGCGAGTTTGCAGCGTCCGACGGGTGTGCTCGCTAATAAATAGATCAGAATGCGGCTGATGTCTATCCTTTGCGACAAAAAAGGGTCCGAAGAGAGAAAACAAGCCCTCGACCGAAATATGTCCCGGGGCGGTTAGAACACCTGTCTCTCCAGTAGACTCTTTCTTCCTCAAGCCCCAGTGGGGTGGAGTGATTTTCTGTAATCCACAGGACTTGTGTTACTCTTCTGAGTCCCTGAATCTGTCTCCACTTGTGAAAGCTATGGACTCACCATTTCCGGACTCTGCTCTGCACTTGAGATCTACCCTCAGCTCGCATGATATGAGGCCGCGGCGACATGGACTCGGACTAAAAAAGTCAAGACGAACATCGAAGTGTCCCCGGGCGGTTCGAACACCCGTCTCTCCAGTACTTCCTCTTCATTTGTAATTTGTATTTGGGTGGAGCGATCTGCATTGATCCACAGGGACTTGAATTGCTTGCATTGGTGCTTGAATATACTCGACTGAAAAGAAAATGACCCCTTTGCCTTATTCGAGAGTCGAGAGTGGATCATAGCTACCCAAATGTTCAAGTGGGGGGAACCTTGGGATGAGCCTGGGAGGTGGGTGGATAAATCCCTACACAAACTTAGGTAGGCCAAAAAAAAACGGTAGCCTTTGGAATGATGTCCTGGGGTGAGTCGAACACCCTTCTCTCCAGTAAATTGGCAGTGGAAAAGCAATATATTAATGGAGTGATCTACATTGATCCACAGGGACATATTCTACCTATGGTGGTCCTCATACGAACCATCCCAGCCGTCCCGGCGCGCGGTGACCGGTCGGTGGACCCCGAGCCCTGTCCGGGAATTCCCGTGTACAGTAAAGCTGGTTCCAATCTTGTTAGACACAGGATGAATGAATGGGAATGCGTCTGATACATTAGCTCGCAACAAATTACGGAAAGGAAGAAAAAAAATTGCCAAGCGATTAGCATTCATTTACATGTCCCCGGGGCAGTTCGAACGCCCGACTCTCCATTCATGTGCTCTATTCTCTCAACGTCACTGGGGTGGAGTGATTTACTGTAATCCACTGGGATTGGTATTACTCTTCTGAGTCCCTGAATATGTCTCCTACTTGTCGAAGCTATGGATTCACGCCTCGGACTTCAAATCAGATATCACCTTTTCCGGGCTCTGCTCTGCACTTGAGATCTAGAACTCTCGGATACTCTCGGATACCGTGATATGAGGCCGCGGGGACATAGACTGAAAAGTCAGGACCTCCGTCGTAAGTGTCCCCGGGGCGAATCGAACGCCCGTCTCTCCAGTACTTTGCATGCCCCTTAATTGAATGGAGTGATCTGCATTGATCCACAGGGACTTGAATTGCTTGTATTGGTCCTTGAATATAATCGACTGAAAATAGCCCACCTTGCCTCGTCTCTCCATTGATTGTCCCCATACACTACAATATTCGGGTGGAACTTGTGTTACTGAGGTTGGTCCCTGAATGTGTCGTGCTGTCCCTCGTATGCCTGCAAAAGATCCAGGAAAGAAAAAAATCTCAAGATATCCACAGAATAATGTCCCCGGGGCGGATTGAACACCCGACTCTCCAGTACATTGGCGGCGGGAAAGCAATATTAATGGAGCGATCTACTCTGATCTACGGGGATTTGGATTACCCTTCTGAGTCCTGAATATGTGCGGGACTTTTCCAGGGGACAGCTCAAGATCTAGGTGCCGGATACCAGCTCGTCTGAATCACTGGATAATTTCTATCTACGTTGGGGTTCACGTGAGATCACACCGCCGGGACATGGACTAAAAACCGAAATCGAGCATTTGAAGTGGAGGGTCCTTGGGGCATTCGAACGTCCGCCTCTCCAGTACTTCGTCTACCACATTTACCATTTGGGTGGAGCGATCTACGTTGATCCACAGGGACTGCTCTGGCTACAGTTGGTCCTTGCATACAAAGTATTTTAATCCAGGGTCAACGCCGTTCTGGGGGTGTCGTGCGGTGAATGTTGGGGTGGATGAACTGAATAACGAGTCAGTCCGGTCCGGAAGTTCCGGTCACAGTAGGAAAGGGGGGGACAAAAAGAATTCAGAACCATATCCCTGGGGCGGTTCGAACGCCCGACTCTCCAGTAATTTGCATGACATCCCCCTTAATTGAATGGAGTGATCTTCCTTGATCCACGAGGACTGGTAGTCCCTCTATTTGACTCCTGGTTATGTGCTGCGCTCCCTTGCGTGTCTTGGTGAACAAAACCAAAGAGGAGAGCATGTGAAATATTTCCGCATGCCCTGGTCGATGTTCGACAACCCAGGTGAGCTCGGTGATAAAAACGGGAATGCGGCTGATACATTAGCTTGCAACAAACTACGGAAAATTGGGGGAAAAAGTTCCAAACAGCCATCTGATGTCCTGGGGCGACTCGAACGCCTGATTCTCCAGTAATTGTCTCTTTCACAAATCACATATGAATGGAGCAATCTTTCTTGATCCACAGGGACTGGTACTTAATATATCCAACTTACCATTATGTAGACTATGGAGACGTCCGTCGAGCGCCTGGAAGGTTCTGGAATCGCGATAAATCGGGCGTGTGACCAAAGGCCAAGGATCTGTGCGGGACTGGATGAGCCAAGGACGTATGATGCGTCCGGGATGGGATTCCAGTTCGTAGTTAGTTTGGTGCCGATGTGCAGGGACGGGTGCGCACGCTGATAAATAAAGGTAAAGGGAATGCGACTGATTTCCTACGAAAGCGGAAGAGAAAAGAAAAAAGAAAAAGACAGAAAAAAACTCACAAGCCGAGCTATGTCCCCGGGGCGGTTCGAACACCCGTCTCTCCAGTAATCCAATGTGTGCGGAATACATCGGACTGGAGTGATTACGATATTCCACAGGGACTTGTGTTACTCTTCTGAGTCCCTGAATATGTCTCCCACTTGTGGAAGGTAAGGACTCACCTTTTTCCGGTCTCTGCGCTGCATTTGAAATCTAGGACTCTCGGATACTGTGATAAGAAGCTGCGGGCACATGGACTAAAAAGTCAGGACCTGCGTCGCAAGTGTCCCCGGGGCGGTTCGAACCCCCGTCTCTCCAGTAATTTACCTGAGATCCCCGCTTTAATTGAATGGAGTGATCTGCATTGATCCACGGGGACATGGATTGGTACAGAGGAGACGCTCAAGGCAATATTTATCAGCGTACATAGAGTGAACGCGGCATCCGCTTTCGGTTATTGGTGAAACTGATGTCTGCCCCACTCATTGTTCCGATGTTTCACTGGTGAAATGTTCAAAATATGATTTCGGCACAACCTACAACGTCACCCGGGGCCGCAGGTTCACTCTATTTAGCCCTCCTCTATTTCTTCACTCGTTCTTCGTTTTTTGTCCGCTAATCCACCAAAATGTTGTTGCGACACGCGATATGTGCAGTGATATTCAGACTCGTCACGGCGGCGCCGTCCATCCCCATCGTTGACCTGGGCTATGCCCGGTACCAGGGAGCGGTCGACACCACCACCAATGTCACGTCGTTCTTGGGCATTCGATACGCCGCGGCTCCAATTGGTTTGTGACTTACAGCCTCTCCACTAATTGACGCATCTCACCGACGACTAGGCGAATTGCGCTTCAGAGCGCCCCAGACACCAGAAAATGCGACTGGTGTGCAACTGGCCACTGCACAGCCAAATCAATGCTTCCAAGCCTCGGGCGGAATGTCGGCAACTAATTCACTGACTGCCCGTGCTATTGACGTCGGCACATCGGAGGACTGCCTGTTTCTGAAGTCTGTAATATACAATCTTTCTCGACTGACATTTATTTCATGACTGTATTAGTGTATACTATCCCAGCGACCCAGAAGGTATACCGATAGGCCCACTTCCCACTATTGTTTGGATCCATGGCGGAGGGTGTGTCCTGCTCTATTGATTCTCCTGATGAGCTTCAGTTATGTCCCTTTGGCAGATATGCTGGTGGCGCCGCCAGCATATACCGGGGAACTGATCTCCTCGTGCAGAGTAACAGAGGAATTGTAGTCGTCACTATCCAATACCGCCTCGGCTTATTTGGTGGGGGTCTGCCGGCGCGCTCAGTATTCGTTTCTGACTAAAATGTCCTAGGGTTCCTTGCGGGTGCAGAGGTGAAGAAATATGGAAGCTTAAATGCTGGGCTGCGTAAGGGCCTGTATCAATGATCTGAAGCCAGTATATCTGACTGCAGCATGGATTTCAGTCGATCAGGATTTTGCTCTGCGTTGGGTAAATAAACATGTCCGTCGTTGCCTTTTAATCGGGTACCTTATCTAACGTCGCTTGTAGGTCTCAAAGTTTGGAGGAGATCCCTCCAAAGTCACCATATGGGGTGAATCTGCTGGTAAGCGTTGAAGTGTCGCCTCTTTTTCGCTCCCACATGTGTATTTGCTGCAGGCGCTGGTTCCGTACTTCAACAGGTCGTCGCACATAACGGTCAAACAAAGCCACAGCTGTTTAGAGGCGTCATCACAAGTTCGACTTTCTTGCCTTCTCAGTACCACTATAACGACCGTATTCCTGAGGTGGGTATTGAACCATCCTCGTTTCATCGACTGATCGCGGCCCAGTTATTGTATAGTGAAGTTGTTGCGCAGACGAAGTGAGAAATCTGTTCAAATTCCGACGAGACCTCATGCTGTCCCCCAAAAAGCTGTTCTGCAGCCACAGACTCTCTGGCCTGTTTGAGATCGGCGGATGTCAATGCCTTGGAAGCGGCCAATGCAAATATAAGTGGAGCCGCATTCTATGGAACGTTCATTTTTGTCCCGGTAGTGGACGGCGAATTCATCACCCAGCGGCCGACCATATCTCTTGCTCAAGGCAAGGTTAACGGAGTACGTCTCTGAACTTCTTCCTCGTCGATAAATTCATTATTCTCCCATACAGGAGGTCCTTCTGTCCGTTACCAATGCATTCGAGGGCACGAATTTTGTAAACCAAAGTACCGCAGCCACAGCAAACGCAACACAATATGCATTGGATCTCTTCCCCGATTTTGGCCCAGCCCAGGCCGATAAAGTCGGCGCCTTGTACGCTGGCTTGGGCACACTATATTCGAAACCAGCGCTGTCCACGGAGAATGTACGTCAGAAGATTCGCGGAGAGACGTACGACCGCTGACAACCCCCCAGCCATCTTCATATGCCCAACATACTATATGCTACATACCTTTGCTGGTCGTTCTTTCAAGGTCTGGCGAAATTTTTATTCAACTGTTCCTTCATTGAGTGTATATGAATAGGGCGAATTTGCTATCCCACCCGCAGTACATGGATTAGACACGAGTTCTACTTCCCCTCGATTGCGATCGACTTTCCTGATTCGATTCCTCCCGTCTACAACAACACGGCCTTCATCGATGCATTCGCTCAATCCTTCACCTCCTTCGCTATCTCTCTCGATCCAAACAGGAAGGTGAACCCCAACACCATTACTCCGAAATGGAGCAAGTGGTATGCTGGGGAAACGGAAATGCTTTTCAACAAATCGGACGCGGATGTGCCCATCGTTCATCCTGTGAAGACTTCGGATGCTCTCTTGAAGCGCTGCCAGTGCGTATCTCGGCCCTTGTATGCGTTTTGTTTGGCGAAATCTAGTTTTCAGATTCTGGGACAGTGTCGGTGCCTTTACGGCCCAATGATGTGTATTGCTGTTATCTTCGGTCTGAGGTGAACTAGATTTCGTAGCGCTCATTTTTTACTCATCTTGATTAGCGTACCTTTTTTTTTCAGTTGTCCAGCTTTGATTAGTCTTGTGTTTACCTCGGGGGCTTGATCGCAGTGCTCGCTTATTATGAAATTGCGGAGTTTGAATTTCAGTCGCGTAGTGGGTTTCACAAAAGACGCGATATTCCATGGAAATTTAGCGTAGGACTGGTTGTCTTCCCTGTGCCTGGCTTTCCGTCTCTTTAGAATCTCGAAATATAGGCTGGAATCCGTTGTGCAGGAAAGCCATTTTGATCATGTGAATTATGACCCTCTCTTACAGCAGTCCTGCTCAAACAAAGTCCTAAGGCCTCCAAAATCACTGAAAATATTTGGAGGTGCTCTTGGATTGTATTTAACCTGGAATATTTGAAACTGATAGACTCGTAACCAGTCTGCCTACGCCATTCTAACAAGGCAACTTGTTGGGGTAGGCAGACTGGTACTTCTCGGATTTGTCAATCGAGCTGGGCGTCGATAAATTGGGACGAGACAGTAGTGTGATCAAGATCATCGGAGCAAGACGGGACCGGATGATGGGTGACGTCAATCATGCCCGTCCGGGGTTTCCCGTTCGCAGTCAAGTCTCACTGAGACTTTGAAACGTTCGAGTGATA